AGCTGAAATAGTTGTAATTTGGAAACACACACACACACACACACACACACACACACACACACACACACACACCCCTAAGCCTAATTTACAGAGTTGACTTTTGTCATCTCAGTTATATTTATTTGTTCAATTTTAAAGCTTTTAAATTTTCTATTAAATTTTTATTTTGTGTGTGTGCATACATATGTGTGTGCATACATATTTGACACATTGCACATGTGTAAGTCAAAAGACCTTCCACTCTGTGGACCTGAGGATTGAACTCAGGTCTTCAGGCTTATCAGTAGGCACGTTTACCTGCTAAACCATATCACTAGCCAGGTCTCTAAGCATGTTCATAGTACATGGTTATGCAATGCATATCACTGTATCCATTTTCTTAGAACCAACCTTTACATGTGAGCTGTCTTATGGGAAAAGCAATGAGAATTTTAGTGCATATCACTAAGTCACACTAAAGTATTTATAGCTTACGTGTACCCATTTCCAAATTTATTGTTCAGGTATTTATTTCCTAATTTGATAGTCAAGATTTACTTGCATAGGTCCAAAAATAGGTATATGCGATTCAATTTCAGAAAGGCCATTTCCTATACCTCAAGTAGATTGTTTATATGTATATTAAAGGCTTATTTGTGGCTACTCTCTTTGACCCTGTTTAGTCTCCGCCTTTTAGCATACATTACTGAAGCAGCCCTGCCTGTCCCTGCAACCCAGCTTTGGTAATGAGTCCTAAGACACTGTGGACAGTCACTCTTTCATACATTCTTTTTTGTTTCCTGTCTCATAGGCCACACCCCCAGTGACTATTCCGGGATCTGCTAAGTTCACCCCCAATGGCAGCAGTTTCAGCATTTCCTGGCAGTCACCTCCAGTCACTTTCACCGGCATTCCCGTAAGTACCAAAACATGGCAAGGTGAACCAAGCCAAGTGTACATTTAAAGAACAGGTCGTAGACTCAGACACGAAAAGGATGAAAAGCCAAAAAGTACTACCTGTTTCTTTTCTTTTCTTTTTTGAGATGGTCTGTCTCAAGTAGCCCAGGTTAGCCTTGAACTCTTTTTTTGGTTTTTGGTTTTTGGCTTTCCGAGACAAGGTTTCTCTGTGTAGCTTTGGAGCCTATCCTGGTACTCGGCTCTGGAGACCAGGCTGGCCTCAAACTCACAGAGATCTGCCTGCCTCTGCCTCCCCAGTGCTGGGATTAAAGGCGTGTGCTACCTGAACTCTTTATAGTCAAGGATGGCCTTTGAACTGCTGATCCTCTACTTCCCCATGCTGGTATTACAGGCGCACACCATCACATCCAGTTTCCAAAGGCATGTGCTTCTTTTTTTTTTAGATTGATTTTTTTTTTTTAATTTTTATTTGTCTGAGTATTTTGCTTGCTTGTATTTCTGTGCACCACATTTGTGCAGTGCTTGTGGAGACCAGAAGGGGACATCAGATTCTCCTAGAACTGGAGTTACAGATGGATGTGAGCCACCATTTGGGTGCTGGAAATCAAACCCAGGTCCTCTCTGGAAGAGCAACCAGTACTCCCCCCCCCTGAGCCATGACTCCAACCCCAGGTGTATAGTTCTGAGTGACATTTGGAGACTCATCAGCAAGCTGTCTTGTGATCTAGATGGGTGCTGCTTCTCTGGGCAAAGATGTTTTGACTGACATTTTAGAAAACTAGAAGAGAGTGTTATTTGTTGAGGCTGGAAATGTATTTTGTGTTGATGCTATAGTTATATTTCCAAAAGACTGTGGAATTAGCCGTGTGATTCACACTTTGTACAGAAAGGCTGATGTTTACCTTCACAAATTACTTCATGAATTTTGTTAGCTTGACATATTGTCCTGGAGTTGTACTATTTTAAGATCCAAAAATTAGATAACTTGAAATCACTTTTTTCTTTCAAAGCCTGAGCAAAAAGAAAAAAAAAAAAAAAAGTTAATGAATGCTGCAATTGCAGCCACATTTAAGTAGTAAATAAAAATTAACACTAAGTATTAAATGATTATGATAAGTCACTGTGGATTAGCTTGGTTCCTAACAGTTCATTTTAAAACATTCTGGGTTTTACATGGTTTCTCACAGAGCACCAAGAAGCCTACCTTCACAGTAGCTGTCCTCACAGCAGGCGCGAATCCTGATAAGGTTCAGAACTGGCCTCACAATAGCAGATGTTAAAACCTTACTTTTCTTTCCTACCTCACCCCTCCCACACTTACACAGACACCCCACAAAAGCAACTCCTTGGCAAGTTCCAGAGCTCCCCAGCTTATACGGATGAGTAACAGGGCCAACTGTGTTGTACTCTGCCCGTGCAGATTTACCAAAGAACATAAAAAGAAGTCGCTGACAGTGGATTGCCTCCTGCTGACAGCACTAGGGGTAGTAGCTTCTAGATAATACTCTTGTGAATTTTAAACACTTCCATAAATATGGAATAATTACTAAAACCACTGAACAGTGGTGGCCCCTGGCCATGCTTAAGGAGTGACGCTGGACATTCTTGTGTTAGTTTTGTTGGTGACACAAACATTGATCCACTCATGTGACCATTGGATATGAGCCATTTCCTCTGAGGGTTTTCCCTTGATAGACATAAAAAATGCCCAGAGTGGCTTGCTGTTTGCCATTTGCCATTAACCCATCTGTGATGGCTAGTGTTGCCAATTTAACAGAATCTAGAATTACCTTGGAGACAGGCCTCTGGACATGCCGCTGGGAGATTATCTTGTGTTAATGGCTGGCACCATTTCCTGGCTGAGAATCTAGACACTATAAATGGAGAAAGGGAACTAGACTAGAGAAGAGCATGCGTTCATCACTCCCTGCTTCCTGATTGTGGACACAATGTGTTCCCTCCTTCAAGTTCCTACTGCCTTGAATTCCCCCATCACAATGGAGTGTAACCTTGAACTGTGGACCAGAGTATAATAAAGTCTTTCTGGAGTATTTCATTCCAGCAACAGAAAAGATGCCTTTTTTTATAGCCTAGTGTATTTAGTTACTTTCCCTATTGCTGTGACCAAATACATGACAAAAGTAACTTAAGGAAGGAAGGAATGGTTTATTTAGTCTCACGTCCACCGTGGTGTTAGTGGGTGTGGCAGGTGACTAGCCACATTGTGTCCACAGTCTGAAGCAGAAAGAGATGGATGCTGGTGTTCTATTTGCATCCATCCTTTTTCAGCCAGTGTCCAGGCCACAAAATGGTGCCACCCACATTCAGGGTAGGTCATCCACCTCCCTTATGCCTTTCTGGAAAGCCATTCCAGAAACACCCAGATGTGTGTATTCTAGGTGATCCTAAAGCCTGTCAGGTTGACAATGAGATTAGCCACCATCACACTTGGAGTGAAAGCTGTAATCCTGATTCCAGCTACAGGCTGACACTATGATAGTTCCTTAGTCCCTGCCTTTAACATAGGAAGACTTTCCAAGCACATAGGCCATTCTGATCACCTGGTATAAAAATAAGGATAGCGTGAGACAGAGAACTTCAGATGTCTTCATCACTCTCATGACCAGGCAAACTATTGTTTCTTCCACTGCACTCTGTCTGATGTTCAGAGTTGAATGTAAGGCCTTGTGTACAAGACAGATGCTCCACTGTGAAGCCACATCCCTCTTCCCACTTGTTATTCTGATACATGATCTGACTTAGTTGTTCACACTACAGCTCGGGCAAGTATTGAATTTGCTACCTTGCCTCCGGCTCCACCATGCCTCATTCTGCCATGCCTCGCTCCACCATGCCTAGCTAGCTCCACCATGCCTACCTCTGACATGCCTAGCTTCTGCTGTGCTTTTTTTTTTGTTAATTAAACCGTCATAGAGACATCATTCTGGGTTTTAACCAGCTGTCTGTCCTCCCATTTCCTAAAAGTCTTTGTAGGATGCAAGCCAGGATTCCTTATGTTGTTTGTTTTCCAACAATGAAATCTTAGAACTCTTCCATGAATACTCTAGCTGTCTCTACCCCCAATCTCAATCCTCCCCCTTTTTTTTTTTTTTTTTTTTTTTTTTACAAAAAAATCGTTTCATTTCTATGTTTGTTTCCAGGGACATTCCAGCAGTGAGACTGCACATCGATGCAGTATCTGTGTTAACTGAAAATTCTATCTCCTGTGGCTGTTTCTTATTTATTCTTTTCATTTTGACAAGTGTCTTCCTCGGTTGTTCTATGCCTTAGTGTTTCAGGCAGGGTCTCTGAACCTGGAGCTCACATATTTAGTTAAATTGGCTAGTTGGTGAGCTCCAGGGATCTGCCCGCCCCCCACCTCTAGCACCAGGTTACAGATGTACTTTATGTCACTGTGTCCATTTTACATGGTTGCTGGCTTCCACGCTTAGGTCCTCATGATATGCCCCTGGCACTTTAACAACTGAGCCTCTCCCAGCCTCCGCCTCCCATTTCTAATTTATTCTTAGACCAGAGAATTTCCAGTCTCTGGTTTGTAATCTGCTTTGGCCAAGACTTAGATAAACACTTCAACAGTCAAATTTGCCATTCCTATTTTAAGGTTCTGGGTATATTTTTAAAAGCTTTGTTTGACTCTAGAAAGACAAGAGTGAAGCACACAGAATATTCCTTATGCTCTGAGCTCCCTGCCAGTGCTTTCAAAGAAAACAGAGTCGGATGCCTGCTGTCCTATGGCCCCTGGAAGTGGGCTTTCTGAGAACAGTCCATCTCGAAGCTGCAGGATTGCCATGTCCTGACTTATGCCAACCAGTGGCTCATCCTAAACCCTAGGAAATAGGGAGCCAGGCAGAACCTAAGGACATGGAGTTCCCACTCTGAAATGGTATGACAGCTTTAGATAGCAACTCTCTTTAAATCATAAAGAACATTAGGATGGGGCTGCCTAAAATTTCCCAACAGAGTGGTTTCTGCATTATAAAAATCTCTGTCTTTGTGCTCCCAAACAGATGCCCAGAGGTTGTCATCCTGAGTTACAGGTGTCTTTCCTCCTTCATCTTTGAGATTTGGTGTTGAAGAGAGCCCTGGGGACACTTCCTAGAGAAGTACCTCAGAGCAGTCCCCATTCTACAGGCTTTTGCTTCTTACCTTTGCGCTGGATTTTTTGAGTCCCAGGGTCAGATCCCTTCCTAAAGCATGGCCATGACTCCTATCTGTAGACACCACTGCCCTTCCATGCAGGCCTTTCTAGCCTGAGCTGGGGAGTGTGCAGGAGGAACAGGCCATATTTAATAACAGCTTTCCTTACTTGTCTTGTCCTGGTAGCTGGCCTCTACTCTTCTACATCTACAAAATGCCTTTCTCTGTTGTTTTGACTGAAAACTAAGAGCCCTTGGCCCCCTTCATCTCAAGCCATTACAACAAAATTGCATAGACTGGGCAATGTAATCAGCAGCCGTTTTGAAACTGCAAGTCCAACATCAAGGCGTGGACTGTTTACTTTTGATGAGGGCTGTCTCCTGGTTTGGAGATGTCCACCATTGAAGCTGTGTCTTCACCTGGCTTTTCCTTGGTGTGTACAGTCAACAGTGAGAGAGAAGGAAGTAGACGTGGGGGGTCAGAGAAGGTACACATGCATGCCAGCCCCCTGGTATCTAGTCTTGTTGAGGAGCGTGCGTACGCACATGTGTATGTCTGTTATGGTATCTCTTCTTATAACAGCACTAATACTTTTGGATCAGGGCCCTACCCTTATGACCTCATCTAACCTTAATTTCTTGAAGGGTTTATCTTTCAGCACATCCAGACTGAAGATTTAAATTTCCAACATAACATTTTAGGAGAAGTGGGGAGGCCAGGCATGCTGATATATGCCTCTAGTCCCAGCACTTGAGAGGTAAAGACAGAAAGATCAAGAGTTCAAGGCCAAGCTCAACCACATAGTAAATTGGAGGATGGTCTGAGCTACATTTTCCCAAAAGTGGAGGGGAAGTGAGTAGAAAGACCATGGTTCATTTGGGGTTCAGATATGAGTGACATGCCCTCACAGCTCATGTGTTAGATCACTTGGTCCCCACCTGGTGATGTTTTAAAATGTTATAAAACCTTTAGGAGGTGGAGCCTAGCTGGAGGAAGAGGGTTGCATGGTGGATGACATCCCTAACTGTAAGCCAGGATAGGTGTCTCCTGTGAGTCATTTCTGTCACTTATTCTGTCCCAATCACAAAAAAAGTAACTAGTGAAAAATGCTTGGGCTTTGTTTTTTATTGCCTAGAAACAGGGTTTTAAATGCCACTGAGATATTATTCCAGTCAATATAAGAGAGAGGACCACAAAGAAATTTCTCTAAAACATATACAGAAGGGCATGACAAATCTATATTATTGCTCCCATGTGAGGCACAGTTAAAATCCCTGTTTCTAGCATACATGAACTCTGACCACAAGCCAGGCACATGACCTTTCTAAAGCAATCTTGTGTTGCTCAGCACAGTGCCTGGCATGAGGCTAACTCAAGATGCTTACTCTTATTACTGCTGTTATTACTGGGAAACAGCAAAGTCAGACTTCTGTTTAAAAGTGCTCCATATAGCTCAAGAAGCCTCACTACCTGAGAGAGATTAGCCATGATTTCAAAAACTATCATTTAGAGTTCTTTAAACTCACTGGAAGTCATAGCGACTCAGTAAGCATGTTGTGGTCGCATAGCCTAATAATTGTGTTTATTTACAAATAATAGCATATTTTTGTACTACTATCCATAGAAGTATAAAGTATATTTTACACATAGTGTATTTTACACTATGTGTAAAATATACTTCGAGGTAGACTTTTGAGAAAGTTTAAGATAGGAAACAAAGATTAAAATGTAGAGAGCTAGGCTAGAGTGATGCCTCAGTGGGTAAACCAATTGCCACATAAGCCTGACAAACTTGAGTTCTGTCCCTGGACCCACATGAAGGTGGCAGCAGAGAGTGGGCTACCGCTATAACAGTCCTGACCATGTTGGTGTTGAGGGAAGGAGTGGGGAAGTGTTTGATCACAGAGCTGGAAAAGCCACCGTGTGCTCTGAACTTGACAGGCTTTTCTGTGGGCATTCAGAAGATAATAATGATGAGAGAAAGGCTACCTGCAGGAGCTCATCCCCACTGTGGGGGGTCTGGGACAAGGTAAATGACATTAATGGGCAGGATCTGCCTAACCTGCTCAGCTTAGCACCTCACACCAGCTGCAAGCCTTCATGCTTTGAGCTCCGGAGATCCTGGCCTTGCCTGTTTAACATTCATTTAACTCCTGCAGCTGAGGACAAAACAGTTCTCCTGTGTTTATGCTCAAGGACCATTGCCCACACCACCAAGGCCTAATGAATGCGTGGAAGGGAGAGTCCACCCATTCAACCTGATTTTCCTTGTGTTCACCAGGTGTCTCCAACACATCACCACCCAGTGGGCTCAGGAGAGCAGAGACAGCATGCCCACACGGTCCTGTCCTCCCCACCCAGAGGGACGGTCAGCCTAAGGTATGATTGCTTAAAAGGAACCAAGACCTTTTGGTTCTGTGACCTTTTGTAAACTTTCTTCCCATCGTGAAGCGTGTTTGCTTTCATCCCGTGGTTTCCTATCGAGTATCTAGAAAGGGCACTTACAGTTTGTAGGATAGGTAATGGTGGTTGCTGTCCTGCATTAACCACTGTATGACATGAGCAATTTACAGTTTTCATCTAGAGCCAAGAGAGTCCCCAGGGAAGCCTCCAGCCAGGTTTTAGAACACTGGAAAGGAAAAAAAGGCACACTGAAAATTTAGAAGAGAGGTGTTTTATTTTTGTTGTTTGTTTGTTTGTTTGTTTTGCAGGAGGCAGAGTATTTGAGTGGCACAAAATTGTGTGTGTCTGTGTGTGTGGCTGTCATGTCCAACTGTATATCACTTCTGGGGGTCCAAACTTACTCCTCATGCTTTAACAGCAAATGCTTTTCCCAAACCTATCTCTCCAGTCCCTAACTCGTGTATTTACTAAAAAAAAAAATGGCCAGATGAACATTTCCGTGAATGACATTTAGAAACAGCTTAAGTACAGCGGCCAGGGAAATACCGAGCCTACAGAAAGCTCATACTCCATTCTGGGCAGGTTTTTTTTCTTGTCTTTTCCCCCTTGTCTTCTGAACTCTGCCCAGAACCCACCCAGTTCCTGTCCCTGAACACATCTGTGCTGTCTGTCCTACAGGAAGCCTAGAGGTGAAGGCAAAAAGTGCCGCAAGGTTTATGGGATGGAGAACCGGGACATGTGGTGCACCGCCTGCCGCTGGAAGAAAGCCTGCCAGCGATTCATCGACTGAGCCAGGAAGCAGGCTCACCCTAGCCATTCCTGCCTCACCTTCCACTGCAGGTGACAGAAAAACCTCTCCTTCCAAAGGAAGCCATTCAAGGCCCAGGGAAAGCCCTTCCTGGAATTCTGGGAATATAATTCCTTGGTGGAATTAAAGCAAAAAAAAAAACAGCACCTGCACTGCTCTGAGAGCCCAGGCAAGAGCAGTAAGAATGATTTTTTCCTTCAAAAGAAAAGTCAACTTCATTTGCTCTCTGTCTGGTCTCAAAACTGGACTTCTGTAGCAACTTAACCAACCAGGCCCATTTTACTTAGAAAGATTTTGATAAGCTTTCTAAATTGTGGTATTTTCAAGGGTTTTTGACACTTAAACAGTACGCCCATAAGCTACACAATACACATTAGCTAGCATTTGTACAAAGGATAACCTACCCTGTGAATAGGCTTTTCCCTGTTTTCCATTCAACTCCTTGGAGCAGTTGAAATCATGATGGATTTCAAGAAAGAGCTGCACTCTGGCTATCTTTTTCTATGTTTTGTTTTCAAGAGGGACCCCAAGCGGAAGCATTATAAAGATGTTAGCTTGGAGCCCCAGGTAGCATAAAGCCCAAAGTAACTAGCAGTGGGAATCACCTGTGGACTTCAACTGCAAGTTGAGACCAGGACGCCAGGAGACATCACAGAAAGCATCCAGGAGTCGTGCTTGGAGCCCATCTGGTGGCACAGCTACTTCTCTGCTTGCCACAACTCAGATGAGAGCTGGCACCAGGAGCCATCTGGTAAGCTGCAATGCTGCTTTCAGAGTGTCACAGGAACCACAGCTTGGGTAGCATGCCCTGCTTTGTCTTGTCAAGATGATGGCCAGGACCGTGGGTTGGCCACCCAGGTAAAAAATCTCCAGACTGGCCCCGCAGCTTTGCACCCGCAGCAGAGCACCACTGACATACCCCCGTCTGTGAGAAAGTCCCACTAGGGCAACAAACTGACTTCCATTCTGCGTGCACTTTTACAGATTCCATTTCTAGGAGATGAGTTAGTGGACATAGTGACATATATGGATAATGGAGAGCTAAACCTTTTCATCTCTTATAAAAAAATATTGGAGCAATGCATTAAGAATTTGCTAAGAAACTTATGGGATGTCCAAAGGAAAACACATCTTGGTATAGGATGCTCTCGATTTAGTAGGGCCAAGGCTTGCACTGGCTTCCAGCTGTTGGAATGTCTAAATTGGTGGACTTGCTTGCTTGAGGGGTGGAGCATGGCGAGCAGCCACCAAGCCTCATTGGAACACTTGTTCTCTGTCTGCCCTGCTTTAAGAGCTTAAGGTCCTATACCTATGCAAAGCAAGAGCACCTTATAAGAGGCACTGGGTAGGGATGGGGACCGTGGTGTCAGCCATACGAATGTTAAGTGAAATTGCACAGAAGAAAACTTAATATATGTTTCAAGATTGTACATAGTGCTTTTTTTACAGAGTCAAAAGAAGTCAGAGTAATCAAGACACCTCTTGTTATGTCAGAGGTATATATGGAGGTTCTGCAGCGCAACACCCTTGATTTGTACATTCATGTATTTTGGCAATTTTATTTTTTAAATTCATGTGACTTTTTAAAAGATTATCTCTGGAAAGAAATCCTGATCTTTACTTCAGATATTTAAAAGGGAAAAGAAACACTTATTTCAAGAGAAAATGATCTTTCTATGATTCCCCATAGCTTGGTACTTGATATCAGCCACACCGGCTCTCCTAGATCTTTTGACCTGCAACAAGAAAACAGCTTTTTTTTTTTTTTTTTTTTTTTTTTTTTTTTTTTTTTTTTGTAATCCAGAGCTAAGTTGTTTTTTCTTCCTGGGCACGTCCTCTCTCTCTATCTCTATCTCCGGTAGCCTCACTGCTGTAAAACGATGTCCCAGCTCATGCAAGAGGCAATGAGCCACACGAAGATTGTCATGGTTTGATCCGGTTCACCATGTGCTTACGTAATAGATGAATCCTAGGCTAGAGGTTTTTCTCCTCAGCAGAGTTCCCTGGATTTTTTTTTTTATTATTCTGAGATGAAAACTTTAATCAAAATACTGCAGTGATGTGAAGTTAAATCCATCCTCTCTTGAAGGACTTTCCTGGGAGACAGGAATGCTCTCTGCATGAGAGCAATCCTTCAGCAAGGTGCCATGGCTGTCTCCCCAAGAGACACAGCCCAAGGGTCGTTCTGCTTAACCGTGCACATTGTGGGCAAAACCATGACACTGAATGCACCTGCCCTGGATCCCTCATCTTCTCTAATGCCTTCATCGTACCAGCTCTTCTGCATCTCCAGCTCTAGTCTACAGGCCAGCCCTAGGCACTGTGTGTTTCTCATCTGGCTTCCGGGTGCAGACAAATCCCAAGTACAGTTCTGGACACATATGCCCATTCCCTGAGAGGAAGGGTGCAATCTCCACGGGACCAGAAAGCTCTGATTTGCAATGTACAGTTGCTGATTATATGAGTTACATTTTATTATAAGTTACATTTTGAAGTAGTTATTTTGTTATTTGGGGAACCAAATGAAGTGCCAAATGAAGCTCGACTTTTCATTTGATGCCGTCTCTGTGAACTAAATTCTTTTGGTGTCTGCATTTTGTGGAGAAACAAGGAAAGGAAGGATAAGAAGAAGAATCTCAGGCTGCTAACCTGAAGTTGTATGCATCCCCCGAGATAACAGCCCTGTCTACAGAAGGAGTGGTGATGCAATGAATTCTTGTCCAGTGGAAATGTCTGATTCTTTTTCTTCCTTCCTTGACATTCCTTCCTCAAAAAAAAAAAAAAAAAAAAAAAAGGTTTCTCATTTCTCCCAGAGAAGTCATTTCACAGTGACTGACAGGACATTGTCTAGCCAGCTACAAAGCAAAAGTAATGTATGCAACAGGCAATAGTTTCCATTCTCAGCCTTCCCGGAGTATGGACACTTAGTTTGTAGAAGTCAATGAGACAACATGGAGAAAACCCCCAGGTAGCAAGGAGGCCATGCAGGAAACCTGAGCACACTGCTTCCTCCTCATCTTCTTGGAGCTGGTCAGCCAGGGATCCTCCATGTCTGTTGTAGCTGTCTTAACCAAGACAGGAGCTGCTTTGTCCCGGGCCTGTCATACTGGCTAACACTTCTGCCACCTTCTGTCTAGGAAGTTTCTCTGTGGAGCGGCAAAAGCCAATGTCAGGAAGAAAGCAATGGGTTTCTGAACCAGAGTGGGCTTTATCGTGCCATTGATTGATGGCTCCACGTCCAAGAGGTTCCCTTATGAGATGATCCCTGGCCTCCTGTGACCAAGCTACAAGTAGAGAACAGCACTGATGACAGATAGCCCTTGGGCTTTCCAAAAATCTCTTCAGAGATGCTCACATGTGCATTGCAAAACATTTCTGAAACTGAATTCTTCCCCTGTTGCAATTAAAGATGACATGAGTTGAAGTTTGCCATCTCTGGTACCCTTACGTCACACTTCCACCAGAGGCCCTGGGCTCCAAGTGAGCCTTGCAAGACTCCATTTTGTCTCACTTCAGCTGTACTGCAAGACGAAGGTGGCACTCACTGGAGAAGGTTCTCAGAAAAGAGGAGAGAATGCGAGAAGCATCGCAGCAGAATACTGTAAATACTACTCATTTCCTCAGGGAAACAGGAAGGACGTGCGAAGACAGATCTGGAGAACCCCACGACTGGGAGGAATTTTACTGTCTCAAGTCGTTTCTTGTCAGAACAAGTTTTTTTTGTTTTTTGGTTGTTTTTTTTTTATGTAAACTCAGTATCATTTCAAGACAAATCTGTTTCAACTGGACAGTGTCAACTTCCGTGAGGCATGGCAGTGCACCCACTGCATAACTGTCTCTCTGTAGCTGGCCTAAAGCTGACTGATATTTGAGCCACAGGCGTGGAGTCTGCTGGGTATTCATAGACACAGTGACGCTTTCTCTGAATGTAATTGTGAACAGGAAGCCTTGCTGTTCTTTGTTGTGATCTTCTGGTTTGGGCAACTGTTGATTAGCTATACACAGCATTCATTAAGTACAAGAAAGCTGTTGGAGACGTGTTCTTTTCTTCAGTGGCGTGTTTAGGAACACACTGCCATGGACTCTGATGGACAGGTGCTGCTTAGTCTCACACCCTGCAGGATTTCCACCATCCACATGGGCTGCAGCATTGACCTGTGTGAATACGTACAAACAAGTGGCCCCAGTGGGACCTGTCACTATAACACACATGATTGGGGGTGGGGGTCATTTTTTCAGGGCATGCTAGGCATATGAGTCAACTAGAAAGTTTCTTTCTATAAGAAACCTACCAGCAGCACACAGGCTCCCCTGGTCCTCCTACCTGGGGGATTCCTCCATGTTGCAACCATTTCATCCTGTCTTTTCTGCATTGTAGAAATTTAGCCAAATGGGAAGTTAGTAAATAAAATAAGGTTAGCACTTTTAGGTACCAGTTGTCCTGAGTAACGCACACCAACAGAGCAAGGAAGGATGAAATGTACTCAAGACTGACTTGCTTCTGATGACTGGCTTTGGAATGGCCCATTTCCAATGCTATACATGCTTTAAAGGGTATACTTATCACAGGGCCAGGAATCCTAATGGGAATCTTATCTCCTGTCCTGGTTTGTAAATAGCTCCTTTTTTTCTGAAGACAATCTCATGTTTTATAACTTTTGTTGTGTGGGTCTGAGAATCACAATTGTAATGTGTTATAGTAAATATAATCTTAAATACAATAATAATTACAACTTAAATTTTCCAAATGAAAGTAATATACTGCTTAGGCATCTACAAGAGACATGACACTTTTATAATAATCATTAGTATTTCTCAAGTTTAACAGAACTGGAAATATTTTACAAGATACAGTGTTTTATAATCACAGAGAACATGAACACTTTGTGGGAAATGACCTTGGTTTTATACATTGTAGCTTATTTTTTAAAATGCAGTATTTTATCTGACAGGAGGTGTTGATATGGCACACAGTTCCTGTT